ATTTCAATCTTTAAAAATTAAAATTGTGCTTATGAAGATACAAGCAATAAAAATGGGGGGAAGGTATTTTTTTAACTTCAGAACAAACTTAAAATGGAATCACTGAAATGGAACCCCGCCTTATGTTACACACTACCTATATAGGAAAATGAGGTCCATAATCAAGAGAAAATTAAAAAGTAATCACCAGAAAAATAATCAGAGATGATACAGATATTAAACTTGGCAAACAATGACTTCAAGAAAGATATTAGAAATATGTTAAAAGACTTTAAAACAAATGCATACTAGAAAATGAAATCTTAATGAGTGAATAAGAAAATTTCAACAGAGAAATGGAAACTATTAAAAAATAGAAATTCTACAACTAAAATATACAATAGTTTAGACTGAAAAATCTACTAGATAGACACAAAAGCATGTTGAAAATTTAAGAAGAAAGGATCAGTGAAGTTGTAGTCATATCAATTATCTAATCTGAACAAAAAAGGAAACAGAAGAATTGAAAAAAAATATTCTGTCAATGTCATAGTCTGGAAGGCATTTAATTTTTAACCTCAGAAGAAGATAAGGATCCTGACAGATAAAAAAAGCTTTTTTACACTAACATTTAATGTCTTAACTTGTGATTTTCCTAGTCTGAAAAATGAAGCAGATACACAGTAAAGATATTGGAAACATTATATAATAAAATTCATTTGATCAGGATTATGAACTTTAATGTTGCTGCCTCCAACTCAGCTTTTGTCTATTTTTTTAAATTTTTTTTATTATTTTTGTGTGAGTGCACCGTCAAATCAGATCTGACTGGTACAGGAGGAGATTGTCCCTCCTTCCCCGGCAGAGCATCTGGTGGATTCGAACCGTGTGCCTCTGGGATTGTAGTTGCAGCTCCTTGCCACTAGGCCACCAGAGCTCCCCATTTTACATATTTTTTGGAGAACATACCTATACCACATCAGCATTCTTTACTGTGCAATTCCGTTATGTCGATTACATTTTTCAAGTTGTGCAACTATTCTCACACTACTTTTCCATATTCTCTCTCCTCCATTTACATAAACTTATTGTCCTTTGAGGTTTTCTTATCTCTTTCTAGGTGTGACTGTCAATTTGATTACATATAGAGATTTCTTCAGCAAAATGCTTAAGGCAGACATTTGTTGCTAATTGAGTTAAATTGTTTTAGAGAAAACTCAGAGGATGTTTTAGATTCATGTCTAAAGATTATCTCAAGGTAATAGTTTCACAAATTAATCTAACTCCAATAGCTCTAGAAATCAAGGTTCCATAAGAATTCGCAATTCTCTTTTCCTTCTTTTGACCAGAATTTGAAACACAAAAAGTTCTTTTATGTGGATCATGAACAAAGGTTTCCTAATATGAGATTGTTTCCCCTTTTTTTTGAAGTTTTTTATTTTAAAACATCAAAAGTATTTTTCCCATTGTTGCATGTTTTCTACCCCATTCTAATCCTTCCCCAGCCTTTTTCTCAATGCACCCCTTATTCTAGATTGTTGTCATACATATAATGCCTTCCGTACATATAATCTTCCCTTCATCTGCTCTAACGCAGTGTTCATGATCGTTTTTTCAATTGAGATTTTAATGAAAGTTTATAAAGAATTTGACCAGGGGGAGGGGGAGCAGGGAGGAAAATGTGCAACAATGAATGACTGATTGTTTCTTAAGATAAAATGTCATCTTACAGATCCAAGAAGTTCAGCAAGACCCACGTATGATTAAAAAGGAAAAATAATCTGAGAATAATCAAAGATATTGATACAAAAATTAAAATAATTTTAAATAAGCTAGAGAAAGACATACAGGATTTTCAGTGGCGTGTCACTAGAAACAGGAAGCCACTTGACAGAGAGAAAATTTTAACACGACAAAAGGTAAAAACTGACAAATGTTTATTCTATTTCTTGTAGCAACAATGAAATCCCTCAAAAATGATGACAAAATTAATATATTTCCAGGAGGGAGGAAGGTTGAGATAATTACTCATCAGTGGACTTAGACTATAAGACTTGTTTGGCTGGTTGGTTTTGGAGTTTTTTCCTTGTTTTGTACCGTCAAATTGGATCTGACTGGCACAGGAGGAGACTACCCCTTCTTGTCCAGCTGAGCATCTGGTGGATTTGAACCACGCACCTCTGGGATTACAGAACAACTTCTTGCCACTAGGCCACCAGAGCTCCCTGCACTATAAGATTTAAGAATGTCCTTTAGTTGCACAGAACTAACACCTGGTGGGAATTCAGTTTACAGGAAGAAATGAAGGGGACAGAAAAAGTAAATACATAGGTAAATGTAAGAGATTTATCTGTTTCTCATTTAATTATAAAACAATTGAATATATTAAAAGCTTATAAATTACAACTAGGTTAGAAGAATAAACAAATCTGTCTTGGAAAAAAAAAGTACAACCAAAATACTGCTTGAAGGTGAAGACAGTGACACTTGTCTCTGCAATGTGGACATATTATTAGAATGACTGTTCCCTGGAAAAGGACATTATCCTAGGTAAAGCAGAGGATTGGCAAAAAAAGGGAAATACCCATTAACACAGGTTGGCACGATAGAACAATGGGTGCAGAAGTAATTGTGAGGCTGGGGTAGGACCAGGCAGTGTTTGTTCTGTTGTGCATAGGGTTACAATGAGTCAGAAACGCTTCACTGGTACCTGACAACAATAACAGTAAGTTATAAGTGAACATGTGCCCCAGATAGTCTTTGTTTTTAGTGTGATCTTGAATTGTTGACAGTGTCAAATGAGAAAAGGAAAGAACGGTTTCATATATGGATTTTCCAGTGGTTTGTGACCTTCTATCACTTCTAAGTCCATTAATTTTTTAAGTTCTGACCACAGTATTAGTTTCTGAAACACAAAGTGGTCAATTTTGTTAATAAACATAAAAAATGAATGCTGTTGTTGGTTGCTGCAGAGTAATGGTATAAGACATAGTTCAATCTCACACCATGGTGATGACATGTTTGAGCTCATTGTTTTGTCTATTATGTTAATCAAGATTCAAATCTGTTGATTCCCGTTTGATCCCTCTTGAGGATTTCCATTTCCAAATTATTATTGTTGCTGTTAAGTACTTCAAGTTGAGTATGACTCATAGCAGCCCTATGAACAACAAATCCGTCCTATCCTGCACCATCCTCACAATTTCTAACACACTTGAGCCCATTGCTGCAGTTGCTGTGTCAATCATCTACTTGACGGTCTTCCTCTCTTTCACTGTGCCTCCACCTTTCTAAGCAAGGAACAGCCTCTCCGAGCAACATGCCCAAAGTATGTGAGAAGAAGCTTTGTCATTCTTGTCTCCACGGGGCATTCTGGCTGCACCTTTTCTAAGATCACCACAACTCAAAGGCATTAATTCTTCTTTTGTCATCCTTATTTATTGTCCAGCTCTCAGACACAGAACAAGTTAATGAGACAATTATGGCCTGGATCAGGCACACCTTAGTGCTCAAGCTGATATCATTGCTCCTCAGTAATTTAAAGAGGTCCCTAAGAGACTTTCTCAGTGCAATACAGATCCTGGTCTCCTGTCTGCTGGTGCCAAGTGGATTGTGGTTCCAAGTAAGATGAAGTTGTTGACAATTTCAATCTTTTCTCTATCCACTATGATGTCACCTTTAGGTTCAGGAGAGAATTTAGTCCAGAGGATCTTGTTAAAATACACACTTTGATTCTGTGTAATTGGGATTAACAGAAGAGGATCAACCAGAATGAATTGGACCAAAGCTCTCAGTTCATTTCATAAAGGGTTTCCCCTATTTTTCTGACCCTCTGTTTTACTGAGCATAATTTGTCCTTTTCTAGTGATTTGTCTTTCCTGATGGTATATCTAAAGTAAGTGAACCAAAGTTCTACATCCTCACATCTAAGGAGAACTCTGGCCATGGAGGGGAAGGGCTCTAACCATGAACTCGGCTTCAGACGCCAGGGCAGTGCTGCCTTGGTCAATGACTACACCAGATACCAAAAATCTATGACTGGTACTGAACAGACGAGCTGGAGAGGGAGGAGGAACACTTCACTGCATCACTGCCTGGTGGCTTCACCACAGGAGAGTTAGGTGATCCCTCTGCTTTTACTGCACCTCAGTGCTCTGTGAGGATTTTTTAAGATTAGGCCCACATGTCTCCACTCCCAAGGAGTTCCGCACGACCCACATCCTTCAGGCCTCACCGTCTCATGAACAAGGACCCTGCACATGTGTCTGCATTGTTCAGCATCTGCCCTCAGAGAGAGCTTCTATCTGTTCTCCCTCACAGCTCCAGACCTTCTTCCTCAGAACCCGGGAGGGGTGGACAATTTGCAATTGTCTAAAGATCATCGTCATACCAACACAAAAATCTTGGGAAGCCAATCTTTGGAATGACGTGAAAGTAATTGAGGTTAAATATTAAAGAACAAGGCAGAATGCAGACGTAACCAATAAGGCAGATGGGCAGGTTTCCAAGTAAAACAAGAGCTGCAAGAAGATGCAATTAGTCTTCAAGCTTGAGGCAAAACACACACATGCACACAGAAAAATAGGTTGTAGAAGCAAAAACAAGGAAAACAATAGCTGTGCTTCTGTGTTGCCTGGACGCCCACAGGCCCAGGATATAAAGGCCGTCCAGCAGAAGGCGTCTCCACACCAGCCCCGCCCTCCTCCTCCTCCACAGCCGCCTCTACCACACACACATCACCATGTGCCACACCAGCTGCTCCACGGGCTGCCAGTCAG